ATGGTTTCCCAATTACTGATACTCCTAAAATCCTGTGTTTAAATACCACTTTGACAATGAAAGTTAAAAAAAAAAAATAACAAAATCTAATATTTTATCTCATGCCTAAGCTCTTCCTAAAATTAAGTTCAAATTGACAAACTTTTCCATATTAATTTAAAAGTTTAAGTCCTTTACATTGCACTTTTTTTTTTTCCAGAACTCAGGTGAAAGCTCCAAGCTCAAAGATAAAAGTCACATTCTCTCTCTCTCTTTCAGATGAACTCTCAGTCTGTCACCCAGATTGGAGTGCAGTGGCGCGATTTTGGTTCACTGCAACCTCCACCTCTTGGGTTCAAGTGATTCTTATGTCTCAGCCTTCTGATTAGCTGGGACTACAGGCATGCACCACCACGCCCGGCTAATTTTGTATTTTTAGTAGACACGGGATTCTCACCATTTTGGCCAGGCTGGTCCCGAACTCCTCGTCTCAAGTGATCCACTGGTCTCGGCTTCCCAAAGTGCTGGGATTACAGGTGTGAGTCACTGTGGCTGGCCACAAGTCACATTTTCTTTAGAGGATCCCAAGAGTTGCCTTCTCCATCTCCTTCTCTTTCTGTACTGTACTTGCTTAGCTGCCATAATACATGGCACTTTGTATTCTGCCAATAAATGCAAAGTGGAGGCAGCCATAAAGTAGTAGACAAACCACTTAGTTGGCCACCAGAAGCCTAAAGCCTGTCTCTTATGTGATTCCACAAGCAAATTACTCACCCTCTCCAAATGGAGCTTCCCTTCTGTTAAGTGTTGTTAAATGTATATATCCAACAGGTTGCTGTTGGAACCACTGAGAGTGTCTGTGAAAGCACTTATAAAATTGTGAAGAACTATCCAAATGCAAGGTATGATTATTAATTTAGACTATTTCAGGGTCAGAACTCCTGACCTCTTTATATTTCTTATAAGGTTATCTGTCTTACCCTCCCTTGTTTATACATTTCTACTAGAATATCATTGGTGCCATATTTTTCTGGCTGACCCCAATCTAAATTTCAAAAGGCAGCTTTTAGCACCTCCTCTAAGAAGACTTTTGTGTTCTTTCCCTGTGTTAGGTATTTTCTCTTTAGACTCTCAATAACCTATGCTACCTTTATTAAAACACATGTCATACTGTACTATTTCTTAGATAAAAGGACTTCTCTTGTTAACTAGATTTCCTCATGTGTTAGTTCTTCTATTTCATGATTTTGTCTCTCTTTTAAAGTGTTAGTTTTCTTACCTGTTTGATGATTTCTGTGTGTGCCCAACTTTGCACTTGAGATTAACTGTTACCGTATTGTGAATGCTAATTATCTCCTTACTGAAGATTGAAGACAGTGATTTTTAGTAAAGGCTGTATAGGTGCTATGATCTGCATGTGTCCTGTAAAGTTCATGTGTTGGAAACTTAATTCCCCACATAACAGTGTTGAGCAATGGCACCTTTGAGAGGCGACTGGGTCATGAGGGCTCTGCTCTCATGAATGGGTTCATGTTGTTATTATGGGAATGAATTTGTCATCTTGAGAGTAGGTTTGTTATCAAAGTGAGCTCAGCTCTTTCTTGATTTCTCTTGCCATGTGATGCCTTCTGCCATGTTATAATGCAATAAGGAGGTCCTCACCAGATATAGCCTCTCAAGATTGGACTTCCAAGCCCTCAGAACCATGAGCCAAATAAATTTCTATTTATAAGTTATCCAGTCTCAAGTATTCTTTTGTAACAGCACAAAACAGACTAAGCCAGCAGGGGATATGCCAGTAGTTAGTTTTCTGAGTGGTAATGTCCTCAGTTGACATTTTTTCCTTTTCTACGTTATATAAAAAGGAAGAAAGATGACATTCTAATAGATGAAAGACAACTATTAGTAAAATGATCTAAAGTTGACTTGGTTATTTTTAGCATTCTTTTGACGAAAGATTTGTCAACGTCTCAAGCATCAGAAAACTTTGTAAGGACAAAGGCTATACCTGTTCTTTATTTATTCACACTGTTCAGTGTACACAGAAAGTAATCAAATATTTTGGTTAAGTGAATTAATCACTTAGGAAGAAATGGAAGATATGAGTAGTAAAAATAATTTGATAAATTTACAAGGTCAATAGGAACACACAAGCCACAACTCATGTGTCCCCTTCTCTGCCCTGAAGACAGTGGCTTTTCTGTTTCTTCTGAGCAACAGAGCATACAGAAGGGGATTTCACCTCCTACTGCATCAGGACACCGATCTCATCACCTTACAATTGTATGCAGCCTGGAACGCAACCAGAGTGTCAGTTTACATATCGAGGCTGCTGGAGGTTGTATGACATCTTTTAAACAACTTGAGTCCATAATAACCAATCTTAGTCCAAAACAGCCAATCATACTGTAGCTGGTCTTCAAACTGCAAGCCACAATTAATTCACCTTGTGAGCTCTTGTTATTATAAATAAAAATCATGGTATTAGAGGTGAGAAAATGCCACACATGATCAGAAATGAGTTAGAGTCCATTCTTTTTCCTCCAGTTTTAAGGCATAGCAAATATGCAGGATTATTTCATACCTAATCAGTTTCACTGGTTCATATTTCATTTCTCAGCAAACCATTTCACTGGGCCCTAAACACTTTTTAGCAACACAGTTCCTACTATCTTCAGAATTTCATATTTGAAAACACCTCTTTTCTTCTAAAAGTCAGACATTTAGCCCACTCGAAAGGAGAAACAATCACAAAACTGTTGAGAGAATTAGAATGAGAGATTTATTTGTGGCCACTTCACCGTCATCTTTTTCTTTAAAGTCACTGTCTCCCTCTTCCTGTGACAAACATCATTCCTTAAGTATTTAACATACTACCTGGGTTCTATTTTTAAATTAATGAAAATGCATCATGCTAAGTGCTTCAAAACAAATTTCACACCACTGATTTCTGCTGTTGTTGCTTTTTTCCTGATAAACATCACTAAGCGATCGATTTAATCATCGCTTATTGTCTTCGGTTGCCAAACATTCCCTGACTTTGCTCAGCAAACGTTTCCATGTAACAGAAACTGGCCACCCTTTAAAAAATACTTCTAGGTATGATGGAGCCTTCTAAAATTGAAAAAAAAATATTTATCTGTCTCTGTCCGACGCAATCCACTGAAATGCAATCTGGGGATTATAAAGGGTCAGATGTTGCCTTTATAATAACAAACACCCAGCAACCAGAGGAATAAAAGTGAGAGGCTCAAGGAAAGAGGTAAGGCTATGGGGACACAGAATTTGTATGTTAGGGTAGGGAGTAATTTGGGAGAAGATATTCTACTGTAGTTTTTACTAAAATAATTTTTGAGGCTATTTATATGTAATGGCATATATGTTTTCTATGACTGTGATCTTTCTTCCAAATTGTATGTTTCAAAAATGAAGAGATAGCATTCCAGAGCTTCATGTAAAAAACAATTACCCAAATATTTTATTTAAAGTAAATCTATCCCTTGCATTTATTCTAATAGATTTTCCATCTTTCTTGGCATTAGATTGTACGTAAAAAAGTCACACTTCTCTTGAGAAGCCAAATACATGTATATAATTTATTAGTTGGTTATTTAAATTAAAATATAATTTTAATTAGTGCAAAATTAGTTCTTGTCATTAGGTAATATAAATAAGCAGTGGAACTACCCAGCTGCTACCAAGCCATCTGAATACCCAGCCAAGGCCATGTCAGAGCATGACCTAGCAGAAAATTACAACTACTACCACTGGCTGGGGCTCATGTTTCAGATCAGGAATGATAAATACCTGGCACTTCTATTACCACTCTCTTACATCATGCTCATGGCAGACATTAATAATCAATCATAATACTCTCCCTATGTCCAGGAGCAACCTTAGAATCCTTAACAGAGCCTCATGGTAGGCAGCCATAATCAATCAAGTCAGTGTTTGAGATGAAACCTATATTCATATACACAGAGATCAACAGCAAAAACCAAAGGCAAAGTGCAAGTTTATTCACTGTTAGGTGAGACCACTGCACCCTATGGCAAAGCCTTGGATCTGGCTCAGGCTCAAGGACAAAGTGGGAGTCCTCCTTCTTTCTCTCACAGAATCTGCATTCTGGAACATGAGCATTTGGGATCTGTCTGTTGGATGGGGGTTAAGGAAAGAGAAGTGGGGAAGAAGAGATGGGGAAGAGAAGAGAACAGTCAAAGGAGAGGGAAGGAATGAGCAAGGCAGGGCAGGCCCTAAGAGAGGCCTTGAATTAGCTTACTGATTTTACCACAACTCCTTACAAATAATAGTACACTTCTTGAGAGTTTACTACACAGTAGGTACAAGGCACAGTGCTAACCTTGATGTCATCATCTTACTTGGTAATCCCAAAACCCCTATGAGGAAGTTCATCAGTTAAAAATTGTGTGGGTGGCATAAGAATCAGAATCACCCTGGGAAATGGGTGTTACCTTCAAGGTAGAGTCGGGGTCAGGGATAATGGGAACTGTTTAGATGACATAGGTGTTAGGGCATGGAGAGGTTCTTACCCCTCTAGACCGGAGGGCAGGAGGCAGATCTGTGGAGCCCAGGGAAAGAGCTGTAGCTATAGCAGAGGGCCATCTGGCCAAAGGTGTGGCTTTGGGTAGAGGAATACAGCTACTATCCCACAGCTGAGAATGAGGGAGCTAGAGGGATCTATTCTCCAACCTCTCTCCCATTTCCTGCTAGTTCCTCCCATCGACCAAACCCCTCTGGAAAGCAGAGAGCAATGGCCCTTTGATGTGCTTCAAGGCAGCTTTCCCTTGCAATGTAGCAAAAGGGCACAGGCAGAACTGGATCTGGAGGGGCAAGCAGAATATTCAGCACAGGCGGGTGGCAGAAAACCCAAACAACAGTGACTAACCATACAGGTTTCTATTGAAAAGAGAAGTTACAACTGCTCAGCAGGGAAGTCGTTAGCAACCCAGTCTCCTGTGAGCTCTCTGCTCTCCTCTCATGCTGGAAAGACCTCCTCCAGCCCTGGGTACCACACTCACACTCCAGGCAGGAAAAAGGAGGAGAGCAAAAAGCAAAAGCCAAGTTTGACCTGAGTGTATCAGGAAAACAATTAGTGTCCCCAGAATACTTATATCTCATCGGCCAGACCCAGGTGATGGGTCCTTTTCTGGCTGCAAAGGGAGTAGGGGGAGGGAAGTATTTTTAACTGAGCTAGAGTCATCAGATAAGATACATAATACCTAGTTAAATTTAAATTTCAAATAAATAATAAATCTTTAGTAAATGAGATACACTTTTACTAAAAAATTATTCATAGTTTATTTAAAATACAATTTAACTGTACCGCGTATATTTTTATTTCTAAGTCTGGCTACTCTAACCTGGGCACATTGTCACCCAAACAAAATCGAAGGGTTTACTATGGAAGAAGGGTGGTACAGATACTGAGTATGGTATGAGCTGCAGCTGCCACAGATGAGTACTATTATTATTCCCATTTTACAGTTTCAGAAGCCAAGGCTTAGAGAAAGGGAGGAATTTAACCAGGTTATACAGCTAATAAGTGCTGAAGCTGGGTTTAGATCCTGGTTAGGTTAAACCCAGTGCTTTTCGGCATTTATATTATCAGCCTCTGTGACTTAAGAGGCTTCAGAACAGCAAAAGAGAAGTCAAGAGCTCTCTAACACAGTGACTGCCCCACCAGTGAAATGTGTTCTAATAGAGGCAAGATTGTCACCATGAAGGTCAGATTGTTGGTAATCAGATTAGCAACTACACCTCATAGAGCAGTGGTTCTCCATCAAGGGGAGGCAAGTTTGCCACGTTCCCCCACCCCCAGAGGGGTACTTGGCTATAGCTCGAGACATTTTCTGTTGTTAAAACTTGGGAGAGTGCTATTGGCATCTCAAAGACAAGGCCAGGGATGGTGCTAAATATTCTATAATGCATAAAACAGTCCTTCACAATAAAGAAACATCTGATCCAAAATGCTGAGATTCTACAGGAAATAATGAGTAGAATCTGTAGAAGAGTATCCTGCAGTACATATCCCCCTAATACAAAGCGAGAGCTTGGACAAAGGCCCATACATGAGAATATTTCACCTAACATCTCTATCATTTTTTAAAAAGTTTCAACCATTTTATTTAAAATTGTGCCAATAAAAATGCTGGAGACACAGTCTTCTCATTTTTGCAATATGAGGGAACAAATAGGTTTACAAAATTGCCCACATTACTTTAACATCTTCTAACATTTTTTATAGCACATCTTACTGTAATGTATTTGTTCTTACAGTTCCCACTTGTTGGTAAGATTCTCAGAGGCGAGGAACAATGTCCTCAATTTGTTTCACTGATACAATGCCTGGTATATAGGATGCACTTCCATTTTTAAGCAAAAATAATTTGTTACCTGTACTGTAAACCTGAAATTAGTGAAATTAATTCTTAATCTTTTAAAAATAATATTAAAAACCAAAAATTCTCTTATTCTTGGATATAATCCTGAGATCAGCTTGGTAGGTGATTAAAACATTAAGCAGTCTGCATAATACTTTTGTAGACAGGCCTAGTTGCTTATTTCCCTAACATCTGTATCTGAGAGTACAACTGATCACATGCTATTTTATGGCTTAGATTTAGACATTTAACATTTCCCACAGCATATAAACAAAAGTAAAGAATATGCCAGGAAAATATATTCTATAGCCAGAGAGACCAGGGCCCTTGCAAGGGACTTTAGAGTTCAAAATTATGAAAACAGTTATTAGTGCCATGATAGAACTATTTGTTTAAAACAAATAGCAGTATATGCCCAAGGAATTTAATATCTTTACAGCCATGTGATCCCTAATAACAGGAATACATTCTGAGAAACGTGTCCTTAAGAGATTTCATTGTGTGAACATCATAGAGTGCCTTTATGCAAACCTAGATGGTACGTACTCAGGCTATAAGGTAGAGCCTATTGCTCCTAGGCTACAAACCTGTATAGCACATGTCTGTCTTGAACACTGTAGGCAATTGCAACACAATGGTAAGCATTTGTGTATCTAAATATAGAAAAGGCATAGAAAAAATACAGCAATATAATCTTATGGGAACCACCATCCATATGCGGTCCATCACTGACTGATACATTGTTATGCAGCTCATGACAATATTTCTTTACTAAAGCCAATCATAAGTAAAAGTAAAGGCCAGGCGTGGTGGCCTCCACCTGTAATCCCAGCACTTTGGGAGGCCAAGGCAGGAAGATTGCTTGAGTCCAGGATTTCAAGGCTACAGTGAACTACAATCATGCACACTAGTCTGGGTGACAGAGACCCTATCTCTAAAAAAGTAAAAATAATTATTAAAAAGTAGAAGTATTCCTGACCACCTCTGGGGATATGAAAAAAGAAAAAGAAAAAAGTAGAAGTAAATATGATGCTTAAAATCATATTTTGTCACCCAGGCTGGATTGCAGAGATCACTGCAGCACCGTCCACATGGGCTCAAGTCATCCTTCCACCTCAGCCTCCCGAGTAGCTTGGACTACAGGTGCACACCACTATGCCTGGGTATTTTTTTATATTTTTTGTAGAGACAGGTTTTCACCACATGGCCCAGGCTGGTCTCAAACTACTGGGCTCATGCCATCCTCCTGCCTCGATCTCCCAAAGTCCTGAGATTACAGGCAGGAGCCACCACAACTGGCCTGTTTAGATTCTTTTGGATCCACTGCACTACTACTGTCTTCTCACTATGTTAGATACAAATTTAGAAGACCAGAGTTCACCCAAATTTAATCTTCCCAGATAGGCTTTTTGATTCAAGAACAGTCTGTGTCAGAGAATGATTATTGATAAATGGTCACAGATTTGAATTTGCATGTATGCTCCATTTCATAGATATCTTCAAAGAGATAGTAGTTGCTTTACTAGTATAACTAATGAATAGATGAGGGCAAAGAGCTAGATTTAAGCCATTATTCTAATTGTTAAAAATACGTTGTTGATCAGAATCTAGTTTGGAGCTATTTTCTTTCTTCTTCAGTGTTTATCTGATTATCTTGCTAGTCTATGCATGGTATCTTTTGACACTCCCCAACACAGACACTAGGCTAAAGATGTTGATATCCCTGGAGATTCTTGCCAGATCTCTAGCCCAAACCTTGCACTGTTGAGACAGTGCCAGACATACACTGGATGTCAAGCCAACAGCTTTTGAAGAGTAGACTGCATCGTCATTGCTAGTCTAGCATTATTTATTTATCAAATGTATAAATTACCATTTGATTATCAAGGTGTTTGTGTTAGCTGGAACCAGAATTTTAAATTTATTAAAGATATGAGTTCCATGGGGTTTTTCCAAATGGAACTTTAGCCAAAGGATATTGGTTACTTAAGTAACTGAAAGAGACCATTAAGAGACTGGGTTCCTTTCTAAAGTGGTCCATTGGCATAATCTCAGGGAGAGGAACCAGCAAGTGTAAATCATTTGCTCTGTTAGGTACTATGCGTATGTTTTCCCTGTTTACTTTTCACAAGAATAACTCCTCATTACCATTTTAAGGATGAGGAAAATGCCCTCAGACATGTAACCTAATAAAGCATCAGTTTATTTATCTACAAAATGGGAGTAATAATCGTACCTACCTCATGAGTATGTTGCGATGATTAAATGGGATAACACATGCAAAACTAAATTACATGATGGTAATGTAAATACTGTTAGGTTTTGTTGGTTTTTTTGTTTTGTTTTTGAGATGGAGTCTTGCTCCGTGGAGTGCAGTGGCATGATCTTGGCTCACGGCAACCTCTGCCTCCCGGGTTCAAGAAATTCTCCTGCCTCAGCATCCTGAGTGGCTGGGACTACACACCTTAGCCACCACACCTGACTAATTTTTGTATTTTCAGTAGAGATGGGGTTTCACCATGTTGGCCAGGCTGGTCTCAAACTCCTGACCTCAAGTGATCCACCTGCACTGGCCTCCCAGAGTGCTGGGATTATCAGCATGAGCCACTGCACCTGGTAGGTCTTGTTATGAATTTCTACTAACAAGGCCACAGTGTGAGAAAGTGAATCCAGAGCCCTTCTTCTAAGATTCCAGTGACCTTCAAATAACTGCAGTAACAATTTTTTCAGTGCAATCTTTTAACTACAGTAACATACAGTAGCAATTAACTACAGTAACTTTTTTTCAGTGCAATTTTTTCATGCAATCTTAGGCCTGCCTCAGGTGGACCATACATACACATTGACCTTTTTATATCTCCCATTTTTAACTTACTATTTAATTTCCAGAACTCACCTCCAGCCTCCAAAACAAAAGGAAAAAAAAAAAAAATCCTACAGACCAAGCAACTTGTACATGCTGATCCCTCATCTTAAATCGTCCTTTCTTTCAGATTTTAAGAAAACTATGATCATTTTAGTCTGATGTGCTTGGATTATAGCAGCATAGGACTCTATCATAGGAAGGATGATCCTTAGCTAGGGTTCCCAGACAGGAAACCTATGCGTGGCTGGTGACCTGCAATATGACAACCACCAACTGCTCACTGCTGACTCTGCTCTTGGAAAGCTACCACCCGCTATTGCCTGACACTTGATGGTGATTACAAATGTAATACAAGCATGCACAGCCTAACACTGTTTCTGTATAAAACATGTGCCGCGGTAGTCCTGTAATGTTATAATGGAGCTGAAATATACCTAACACCTAGTGACATCATAACTGTCATCATGTCACAGTACAGCACATTATCCATGTTTGTGGTGATGCTGGTTTAAACAAACCTACTGTGCTGCAGGTCATATAAAAGTATAGCATGTGTAATTTTGTACAGTACATAATACTGGATAATGATATAAATGACTATGTTACTGTTTACGTATTTACTATGCTTTTTTTCATTATTTTAGAGTACATGCCTTCTACTTACTTTTAAAAAAGTTAACTGTAAAACAGCCTGAGGCAGGTCCTTCAAGAGGTATTCTAGAAGGCATTGTTGTCAGAGGAGATGACAGCTCCACGTGTGTTACTGTCCTTGAAGACCTTCTAGCGGGACAAGATGTGGAGGTGAAAGACAGTGATATTGATGATCCTGACCTTGTGTAGGCCTAGGCTAGTGTGCATGTTGTGTCTTTGTTTGTGTCCATGTCTTTGTTTTAACAAAAAAGTTTAAACAGTAATAGAAAAATAAAAAAAATAAATATATGAAATACTAAAAAAATGGCCAGGGGTGGTGTGGTGGTTCATCCCAGCACTTTGGGAGGCCAGTGAAGGTGGATCACCTGAGGCCAGGAGTTCAAGACCAGCATGGTCAACATGGTGAAACCCCATCTCTATTAAAAATACAAAAAAATTAGGTATGGTGGTGGGCTCCTGTAATCCCAGCTACTCCGGTGGCTGAGGCAGGAGAATCATTTGAATCTGGGAGGCAGAGGTTGCAGTGAGCCAAGATCATGCCATTGCACTCCACCCTGGGCAACAAAAGCAAAAACTCCATCTCAATACACACACACACACACACACACACACACACACACACACACACACACAGAGGTATGTATGTATTATAATGTGTTTTAAGCAAAGTGTTATAAGAGTTAAAAAGTTAAAAATAAAATGTTTTAAAATAAATTACATTAAGCTAAGATTTATTACTGAAGAAAGAAAAACTTCTAAAATAAACTTTGTATTGTCTAAGTATACAGTATTTATAAAGTCTACGTAATGTTCAATAATGTTCTAGGTCTTCACATTCTTTCATGCCTCACAGACTTACCAGAGCAACTTCTAGTCCTGTAAGTTCCATTTATGATAAATTCCCTACACAGGTGTTTGGTTCTTATATTATTTTTTTCCCATTGTTTATATATTTTTTTACTGTACATTTTATGTTTAGATACACAACTGCTTATCATTGTATTACAATTACCTATAATATTCAGGACAGTAACATGCTGTACAGATTGGTAGCCTAGAAGCACTATAGTATATAGCCTTGCTATGTAGTAGGCTACACTACCTAGGCTTGTATAAGTACATGCTTTTTTTAAAAAAAAGACAGGATCTCACTTTGTTGCCCACGCTGAAGTTCAGGGGCGAGATCATGGCTCACTGTAGCCTTGACTTCCCAGTACACTCTATGATGCTCACAAAATCACCTGATTTCTCAGAATGTATTATCATCCTATTCATTACTGTACATCTCCTTTTTTTCAAATTTAACAAGGTAACAGCACGCACAGAGTCAGAGTTCCCTTACTTCAGGAAGCCTTCCTTGACTCCACCTATTGGTTTCTCATGCTCCGATGTCTATTGTGTCCTTAATCATATCACTTTGTGCTATGTTACAATTACCTATCTATGCGACTTCATCCCTGACTAGGCTGTAAACTCCTAGGAGATACATCCTGTGTCTGAGACTGTGGTATTCCCACTGCCCAGCACATTATAGGTAATCAATAAACACTTAATAAGCAAACAAATAACATATGAGAAACCAAGGAAATAAGAATGAATACACGGTGTCTTTGGACCCACTTGCGTGGTCATGGCTGTGATGGAGAGAAGAGGAGAGTTTTGAATGGGGTGGATTGTAGTCCACCTTAAGCAGTAAGGTGGGTTAGAATACCGAGACCTTAAGTATTCAGGTGTGGTGATCTAGATAGGAAAGAACCACTTTTTTTTTTTCCCAATTTAAAAATTACAGTAAGAAATAAACCAGAAAATCAAGAAAAAGTGGATAAATTCCAGACACTTACACCCTCCCAAGACTAAACCAGGAAGAAGTTGAATCCTTGAATAGACCAATAACAAGGTCTGAAGTTGAGGCAGCAATTAATAGCCTGTAAACCAAAAAAAGTCGAGGACCAGATATGTTCACAGTCGAATGCTATCAGAGGTAAAAAGAGGAGCTGGTACCATTCCTTCTGAAACTATTCCAAACAATACAAAAAAAAGGGAATCCCCCGTAACTCATTTTATGAGACCAACATCATCCTGATACACAAAACTGGCAGAGACACAACTAAAAAAAAAAAATTTCAGGCCAATATCCATGATGAACATTGATGTGAAAATCCTCAATAAAATACTGGCAAACCAAATCCAGCAGCACATCAAAAAGCTTATCTATCATGACCAAGTCAGCTTCATCCCTGGAATGCAAGTCTGGTTTAACATATGCAAATCAGTAAACATAATCCATCACATAAACAGAACCAAAGGCAAAAACTACAAGATTATCTCAATAGATGCAGAGAAGGCCTTTGACAAAATTCAATAGCCCTTTATTCTAAAAACTCTCAATAAACTAGGTATTGATAGAATGTATCTCAAAATAATAAAAGCTATTTATGATAAACCCACATCCAATATCCTATTGAATGGGCAAAAACCAGAAGCATTCCTTTTGAAAACCAGCACAAGACAAGGATGCCCTCCCTCACTCCTACCATTCAATATAGTATTGGAAGTTCTGGCCAGGGCAATCAGGCAAGAAAAAGAAATACAGGGTATTCAATTAGGAAAAGAGGAAGTCAACTTGTCTCCATTTGCAGATGACATGACTGTATATTTAGAAGACCCTATTGTCTCAACCCAAAATCTCCTTAGATAAGCAACTTCATCAAAGTCTCAGGATACAACATTAATGTGCAAAAATCACAAGCATTCCTATACAGCAATAACAGACAAACAGCCAAATCATGAGTGAACGCCCATTCACAATTGCTACAAAGAGGATTAAATACTTAGGTACACAACTTACAAGGGATGTGAAGGACCTCTTCAAGGAGAGCTACCAGCCACTGCTCAGGGAAATAAGAGAGGACACAAACAGATGGAACAATATTCCATGCTTATAGTTAGGAAGAATCAATATTGTGAAAATGGCCATACTGCCCAAAGTAATTTATAGATTCAATGGTATCCCCATCAAGCTACCACTGACTTTCTTCACAGAATTGGAAAAAAACCACCTTAAATTTATGGGGGGGAAAAAAGCCCCCATAGCCAAGACAATCCTAAGCAGAGAAAAAAAAAAAAAAGCGGCAGTATCATGGTACCTGGCTTTAAACTGTACTACAAGGCTACAGTAATCAAAACAGTATGGTAATGGTACCAAAACAGAGATATAGACCAATGGAACAGACAGAGGCCTTAGAAATAATGCCACACATCTACAACCATCTGATCTTTGATAAACCTGACAAAACGAGCAATGGGAAAAGGATTCCCTATTTAATAAATGGTGTTGGGAAAACTGGCTAGACATATGCAGAAATCTGAAAAATGGATCCCTTCCTTACACCTCATACAAAAGTTAACTCAAGATGAATTACAGATTTAAACATTTAAGACCTAACATCTTCAACAGCATCTTGAAAAAATGCACTGAAAAAGAAAAACAAAAACAAAAAACCTAACATCATAAAAGCCCTAGAAGAAAACCTAGGTATTACCATTCAGGACATAGGTATGGGCAAGGACTTCATGACTAAAACACCAAAAGCATTGGCAGCAAAAGCCAAAATAGGCATATGTGATCTAATTAAACTTAAGAGCTTCCGCACAGCAAAAGAAACTATCATTGAGGGGATCCAAGATGGCCAAATAGGAACAGCTCTGGATTGCAGTTCCCAGTGAAAATGCAGAGGGTGAGTGATTACTGCATTTCCAAACAAATTTTTACTGTCCACAGACCAGGAGATTTCCGGGCAGAAAAATGCCACCAACCCCCAGGGTGGCCGTTTCAGTTGGCGCCGCGAGTCTCCACACAAAAACTCACACATCTCCAGGCACCTTTTGAAATGGTGACTGGAACACCAGGGAGACAGTCACCCATGCAACTGAAAAAAAAGGGGACTGAAACGGGGAGCCAGGACAGGAGATTCCCAGGTGGAAAACCACCATGAGTCCCCAGCATGGCTGTTTCATCCAGCGCAGTGAGTCTCTGCACAAAATCTCACACAAATCTGGGCACCTTTACAACTGGTGGCTGGAACACCTGGGAGACAGAGTCACCCATGCAACTGAAAAAAAAAGGGGCTGAAACAGGGAGCCAGGGGATCTGGCTCAGCTGGTCCCACCCCCACAAAGACCTGCAATCTGAAACGCTCTGGATTGAGAGTTTCACAGCAAGCACAGCTGGACCCAGGATGGTCCACCTCTGTGTAGGAAGGGTATCCGTCATCACTGAGGCAGTCCACCGCTACAGAGGCAGTCTGCCATTACTGAGGCAGTTTGCCATTACCGAGGCAACCCGTCATTACCAAGGCAACCCACCATTACAGAGACAGTCTGCCATTACAGAGACACTCCGCCATTACTGAAGCAGTTCTAACTATACCCCGTAAACAAAACTGCAAGGAGGTTCACATAGCAGCTGGGCAGAGCCCACAGCAGTTCAGCAACACCTCTGCTGGCAGACTGTGACCAAGCTACCTCCTCACCGGACAGGGCATCTCTGAAAAAAGGCAGCAGCATGACAGAAACTTATAAATAAAGCCCCACCTTCCTGGGACAGAGCACCTGGGAAAAAAAGGCGGTTATGAGTTCTGCTGCAGCAGACTTAAACACACCTACTGAGTAGCTCTGAACAGAACAATGGAGTTCGCAGCTCAGCACCTGAGATCCTATAAAGGACAGACTGTCTCTGCAAGCAGCTCCCCAACCCCTTTATATCCAAAGAGCCACCTCCTAAAGGAGAGCTCAGACTGACATCTGGCAGGTATCCTTCTGGGATAAAGATAGAAGTAGAAGACTGCCAGCAACCCTTACTGTTCTGCAGCTGCTATAGGTGATCCCCAGGCAAGTAGGGTCTGGAGTGGACCTCCAGCAGTCCTACATTAGAAGGGCCTGACTGTTAGAAAGAAAACTAAGAAACAGAAAGAAATAACTTCATCATCAACAAACAGGACATCCACTCAGAGACCCC